AAATGCCAGGCACTATTCTAAATGCTTTACTTAAACCTATTCATTTAACCCTAACAAGAAAGATTCTGACTACACTGTCAAGGAGGAAATTGAGATTGCAAGAGGCTAAGTAACTAGCCCAAGGGTTGCATAGTAGTAGAGCTGGAATTTGAACCAAGGCAATTTAGCTTCATAGCCTTAACTCTTATCACTATCCACCCGGTCTTCTTAGAAAAATTTGTAAAGACCAGGGTTATTATTATTAATGAACCTGAAGAAAAGAGAAAATACCACAAAGATATGTATTTCTGGAATACTACTGACAAATTCCATAGCAATTATAGTTACACCAGCTGATAGAGGATTACTCAATAGGTTGCTCTTGCTTAACTTAAAAATACCTTAAGCTTTAAGCATCATCTTTTATCTAACACAGAAAAATATCACCTATTCAAAGCTCCAAAACCTTTAAGAAGCATATTTTTAAATGAGCTTTAAATAGGATTTACATAACACATAATATCAATTCAGCACACTCTACACAAAGTTGCTTTCCCAGACAAAATAAGGAGTTTCTTCAAGCAATAAACTCCTTAAAAGTTTACTTCCACAATATTTGCAAGTCTGTGGAAACAGATTTTTAACTAACACAACAACAAACAAGTTTTCAATTCAATTCATTCAGTTTGTTTGCATCTCTAATCTGGAGTTTAAGTGAGACCAACAAAGAGCATGTGGGCAAAAAATAGCAGTGATAATAAGTTCCTGGCCCTACAATCTCCAAGAAAGGGGAGAGACTAAACAGGTTTTGTGCAATCAATGGAAGCAAAAAGAGTTTCCAACAAGACAGAGAATTAACTCTTCTACATTGGCTATTTATCCAGAATGAAATAATTACAGAAATGACTCCACAGATTAAGAAATAACCCTATATAATAAAAGCATAATGCAAATTGACCAAACCACGGAATGACCAGTTGGCAGGAAGTGGGGCCGGTGAGCAGGCGGCGCCAGGCCAGCCAAGGCATGTGCCAGCAGGGAGAGGGAGGGAATGGCGAAGGGGGGTGGGGGGAGGCTGTGGGGAGCCGATATAGGGTTAAGCCTCGGACTAACCTGTTAGCAAAATCACAAACAAGTCTTTTTCCGAGTCTTAAACAATCCAATCCGAGAGGTGGCCGCTGATTTACGTGCGCTGTCATTTAAAAAATAAAAATGGGGGAATTTGCCGGAAGCCGGTCCACCCTTGCTGCTTGACACAGTCGCTGCAGGGAAGAAACATCTGCACAGCTTATGTTTCAAGGGACCAGGCGTATATGGCATATGTTTGCTCCCCTTCTTAGCACTATGTTTTAAACAGGACCACCTCCCCGAGAAAGGTTGTTTCCCCAGGTCAGGGATTATTAACAGGACTAAGGAAGAGAATAAATCAGTAAATACCCCTAGTGTTACAGAAATACCATGTACTACTTATGAAGAACTTGGACTAAGACTGTTGGCAATAAATTTGGGACTTGTTGGGCCCACATACCCAGGGGTCTTCCCACCAGGGAAAGCACCAAGCCTATACCCCTGGAGAGCCACCACCACAGGGCAGTCCCAGGGAAGGCAAGCAGCGAGGCTGGGAGGATATAACCTTTACTGGGTAGGATAATCTCCTTCAGTCACTTCCTTGTAGCCTATCAGTAGAGCAGTGACTTTGGAAAAGCCCTTGTGATGGAACACAGAGATTAACCTAGACCACATTAAAATCAACAGAACTAGACAGAGACAGGATTTTTGGCAAAGGTCAGATAAGAAAGAAGGAACTATAGAACGTTACCCAAAACATACCATGATGTGATTATAGAGGCATGCTTATAGGATGAAATGGTATAAAAATAGATGTAATAGAACAATAAAAAAGAGAACCTCGCTATGCTGATCAACTGAACGCTGCCTCCGTGTCCTTCATTCTTCGCCGACTCCGTCCACACCTTTGGGAACCCTGGACCTGCTGGCAGGACCCCAATAGGAGGCAACAGCTACCAGTGGTGGCAGAGGGGTGATGGGGATGAGGTGAGGCTGCGCCTTCTGGTGCCATCCCCTGATCGGCCGCTCGGTTGCCTCCCGCAGAGGGAGGCTGGCAGCAGCGGGGTGATTGGGGCAGCGCTGTCCCCTGATTGGCCTGCCTGGTCGCCTCCTACAGAAGTAGGCCTAAGCCATCAGTAGGACATCCCCTGAGGGCTCCCGGACTGTGAGAGGGCGCAGGCTGGGCTGAGGGACCCCCTCCCCTGCCGAGTGTACAAATTTTTGTGCACTGGGCCTCTAGTCTATATATATAAAAGGCTAATATGCAAAGTGGCCCCTCAGGAGTTCAATAGCTTGCTATGACATGATCTGACCACCAGTAGGCGGCATGGAATGAAGGAAGGCCCCAGCTGGAAGGTGGCAGCCAGGGAAGGGAGGCCCCCACCAGCAGCCAGCAGCCATCAGCCATCAGCCAGGGAAGGGAGGCCCCAGCTGGCGCCTGGCAGCCAGAGAAGGAAGGCCCCGGCCAGCAGTAAGAAGGCCCCGATTGGCATTGATCGCCAACCAGGCTTAGGGACCCTACCTGTGCACCAATTTCATGCACCGAGCCTCTAGAATAACAGAATGATGAAATTACAAACAGCTTGGAGAAATTTTTTTAGCAGGAGCAAAGTAATTAATACAGCTTCTCATACGTATTAACTGAGAAGACATGTGTTACAAAGATCCTCTGTCTTTTCCACTTGCCAGAAAGAAGATACCTCGATACCTGATACTAAAAAAGCATGAACTCAGAATAACTGTTCTGAAGAATAGAACTAATTTTCTTTCCTTATAACACTCCACTGCAAATCTTGCCAATCATAGCGTTTTTGTTTTCATGGAATTTACAAGACTAAAGGGGGAAGGGATGGATGTATACACACATATATATATATCTCTTTACTACATGAGAGAAATCATTTTCATGCAAACCAGGAAATACTAGCAAACAATACAAAGATGCCTAGAGACAACCTGAGCAGAACAGAAAGAACACCTGGGATCTCATTTCCAGTTCAGGTTCTGGCACTACCTAAGCCATAGGACCTCAGGCGAGCCAATACTGACTGTTTCTAGTCCTCAATTTTCTCCTATTAAATGAGAAAAACCTAACTATATGTTCACAGAGGTTGCTTCTACTTCTAAATACTGCATTCAATAGGTATTTAACTATATATAAGCACCAAAAACCTCAGCTTCCTCTGTACTTGTAAATTCTTAAGTAATAATACATGATGACCAAAAAAGATCAGACTTAGACTCTCAAATACAAAGCTATACTCATTTTCCGGCCACCTACTTATTAATTAAAGTGACTAACTCAATGGATTACAGTATCTAATTATTCCTGGCTAGCTTTTATTGTGTTCGAAAGTAGGGCAAAGATCATCTCAGAGAAATGTATGATAATACTTTCTGATAAATACTACACAACATAAAACACCAAATTTTGAAGAGATGCAAAGGAACAGTATTCTGCACTAGACATGTCCAGATTTCAGAGTAAAATGACAATATCACCATATTTTCACTTACATAGTGATTTCACATTTACTATCTCAATCATTGTGACATTCTATGAAATAAAATGAACAGCGCCTTTACCAACCAGCTCAGAAAGTTAGGTAATCTGTCAACTTTCACTCAATAAATGTTGGACTTCAATCCAGGTCTTTGACTCAAAGTTTGATGATATTTTACAATTCTAAAAAGTGGTTATTCAAGCCAAAGACAGGAAGAAGATGGACAGTGAGAAATCAGTTCCTCCATGACTGAACTGAACTGAACAAAAAGAATATGAGACCAGCCCTGGCCGGTTGGTTGGAGCATCCCCGGGAACACCCATACACAGGTTTTGGGCTCCCTGTCCCGTGGGGGTGTACGTATGGGAGGCAACTGAAGTTTCTCTATCACATCGATGTTTCTCTCTCTCTCTCTCTCTCTCTCAAATCAATTAAAAAAATTTACCAATGACTATAAGATCAGTGTTTGGTAGTTACAAAGTCAACACGCAAATTTACTAGCTATTAAAACTAACGATAACCTCTAATCTATATAATTCCACATCTCAACAACCTTGTCACCTCGTTTCAGACAAGTGTGAAAATTTTTTCTAAATAAAAAACAAGAACAAGATATACATGAAACAACACGTCTGAATTTTGCTTAAAAGCGTATGCTTCTAAACAGCTTGGTCATCAGCAGGGAAGATCTCCCTTTACTCTAAAGTCCTAGAAACCGGGGAAGGAAGCAGCAGCTTAGAACGGCTTGCCAATCAGTGGCGCTCAAGGCAAATGGTCGGGAGTAAGGTGTGTGGGTTCGGTGTACCGGTGGCCAACCTGGGAGCGGTGTCCCAGATAAGCTGGCTACCGCCAGACATCCAGAGTCCGCAGCCCCCGAAAACACTGCTTGAAGTCGAAATCACGGTGCCCCAGGTCTGCACGGCGTAAGTGGGAGAGCTCCGGAAGAGGCTGAGCTCTGAGGAAAGTCTCGGGCTTCCGTCCCCAATTCCCCGGACTCGTTTACCTACCCGCTCTGACCCCGGCTGCTCCGGATCTCCGGGTCCTACAAGCGGCACCTGACCGACTCTCACACCCGCCGCTGGGCTCCAGCAAAACCGGAACTCGGTACGTCACTTCCGGTCCGTGTTCCCCCGGGAGACCGTCTCCTGAAGAGAATCGTTCCCACCTCCTTTCGGCAACCTCGGCTGACGGTCGCACGCAGGATTTCGGTCCGGGACCTGTGGGCGGAGCGAGAGGGAGAATGACTGTTCTCTCCTCAGTTCTTGATCCGGAACTTGTTGTCCAGGAACCGCGGAAGAGGTACCTCGTGCGACGCAGCGTGCTTGCTCCTCCAAAGTGAAGAAGCTCAAGACGCGGGCGAGGCGAGGAGAAGCGCACTAGGTAGGTGGGATGCCGTTCTCCATCCTCTCTCCAGTTGGGATGTTTCTTTCCGTAACCCGCACCCCCACCCTTTCATCTTCGTAAACTTTCTGCCGCCCCAAAGCTGCTGGAGCCACTGTTCCTGCTCTGCCAGCCATCCTTTGGAAGAAGGGACCAAGATGCTGGGCAGGGGACGGGCCCAGAATTTTCAGTTCCCAGGCAAAGCCTCCATTCGGGCAGCATCGATGTGCTCGCTCCGAATGTGGGAGAACACCGAGCAGGCCTCGCACTCTGCTGAGTTTTTATTGAAATCCCCCATCGTATCGAGTTGTTGAGCCCTACGAAGGAAAAAAAAAAGGGGGCGGGGGGAGTTCTAAGAATATGATCGAAAATTTGGTTCCCAGACATAATGGCTAGAGAAATATTTCTTTAATTGAAATATTAAAGAAGTAGACGCCAGAGACTGTGACCCACAGGAGGAGTTACGTGTAAGTGCTACAGCAGCTGGGAAGAATAGTTAAGACTGGGGGTTGGTAAATATTTTAGAGGCAGGCATTTGAACTGCGCCTTAAGGAGTAAAGAAGATGTTTTTGTTTGTGTGTTTAGGTGAAGGAAAATAATTGCAGGGGAAGATTGCTGCTTGAAGGGACCTAGTAATTTGGTGTGTCTGGGTAGTACAGTAAGTAGCAGGAGGGTAGAAGGATACAGTAGGTTGTAACCAAATTGGGTAGCGCTGTAAATTCGTGCAAAGGGATTTGTTTTATCCTTTAGGGGCGTTTACCCAGTGATTTTTGAGCAGGGAAGTAGACTCAGGTTTGTGTTTTAGGAGCATAATTATACTGGCAGATGGACTAGGATGAACTAGGGCACAAGTGAAGCAAATGTGGAAAGATGAGAGGTAGTGAAGTTAATTTTAGAGGCTTTTGGCCAAGAGATAATTGGGGCACTGCTTAGATAAGATGGTTTAAGACAGATCAACAAGTTTTGGTGACTGGGTGGGAGGACAGAAAAGTCCAGAGTTACTTAGAAATCAAGAATACAGAAAAAGGAAGTTTGAGAGGGAAGGGAAGATACTGAGTTCAGTTTAGAGTACTTCATAGACATCTAAGTGGTGAAACTAGCAGAAGCTGGAAATTCAAGTTTGGAGCTCAAGAAAGGCTTTAGGGGTCTTCAGCGTATGATGATTTGGGAATAAAGCTTTGAAGATGAGCTTTGTATCATGACCTTGATAGTACGTTTTAATACTGCTCCTATTAGTCATGTTACTGTGGATGAGCAGCTTCTCTGATTCTTATCTTTAAAATGAGGCGAATATTTTCCTTTTATTTTCATAGCAACAGTAATGGAAGTAAAAGGTTTAGAATGTTGGTTACTGAAAGCAGGTACTAATGTAGGTTTTTCACAAAAGCGAGTGATGTAACATGGATTTTCGAAATGTGGGAGATACCTCTATCTTTTTTATTTGCCAGACATCTCTGACCAAGATGTCTTTTGGTCAAACAAAATGCAATATACAATTTAAAACTGATTTCAGTATTTTTTACTTTCAAACATGAATTGTACTTGTTAAAAGTTAATTTTATAGTATATGAATTACATCTCATAAGGTTTAACACTCCCTTCCCTGCACTATCCTTATATTAAACTGTTTGATAAGACTGCATATAATTTACCATATAAATTTTTAAAGCATCAATGTCCTAATTTAACGAGAATAAAAAGAAAATTTATGATAAAATCTATATTTCCAGGACTTGTGCCACAGAATCACATGAATCCAATAACCTCAAATGTAGACTGATACGTTTTATTGGTGACTCAGATACCATGAACAGCTTTTCTGGGATAACAAGAATTAATTTTTAAGATAAAGGATAAAGGATAATCTCCCTTTGTTTTTATATAAAGCACTCTGGTAAATTCACTGTATATTAAATGCAAAAAATAGTTTGTGTTTGTATGTAAAATGAAATTGGGTTCGTCTTGTGTATTAGCTTTGCACTTACAATAATGTCCAATGGGACAAATGTTCACTTGTAAGACTTACAGCACTCTATGCTCAGATCTAGTAAATGTTAGCAAGGCACCTCACTCCAGACCCATTACATAAACAACCAGGAACTTCTCTGAGGCGCTGGTACCATCCCACATTGCATTATGAAGAAACAATTAAATAAGCACTATATTCCAGAAAAGGGGGTGGGGGAGTTATTCTTGGTTTCTTTAGACCCTTCGGGCATCTTGGTAAAACAGGACATTTCCTTTCTGAGGAACAGAGCTTTGTTGTAGCCAAGAACAAGAGATACTTCTTACTTTGAGATTCAAAATGACTTAAATTGCTTCATCTGTATTCTTGAAATTTTTTCTAGTACAGAGGAGAAAAAGCAGTACACACATAAGATTCAAAATATATTGTGCCTTTTTTCTGGGTGACCTCAGAGTTTTAAAAATACTGTTGCTTATATACTATTAAGGTATTTGATAAGCCTGTAACTTTTCACTGCTGTGTAGTGATAACCTTTTTCCTTTCCTTTCAGATGCTCTCCAAATCCTTGGTAATGGAGTATTTGGCTCATCCTGGTGCACTCAGCGTGGCTGCTGGAGTAGCTTGTGGCATGTGCTTGGGCTGGGGCCTCCGTGTGCGCTTTGGGATGATCCCCAAAAGCTCAGTGAACGAGACAAACACAGCAACCAGAACTGAAGCGAGCATCTTAGGAGAGAGTGGGGAGTACAAAATGATTCTTGTGGTTCGAAATGACTTAAAGATGGGAAAAGGGAAAGTGGCTGCCCAGTGTTCTCATGCTGCTGTTTCTGCCTACAAGCAAATTCAAAGGAAAAATCCCGAACTGCTCAAACAGTGGGAATACTGTGGCCAGCCCAAAGTGGTGGTCAAAGCCCCTGATGAAGAAACTCTGATTGCATTACTGACCCACGCAAAGACGCTGGGACTGACTGTAAGTTTAATCCAAGATGCTGGACGTACTCAGATTGCACCAGGTTCTCAAACTGTCCTGGGAATTGGGCCAGGACCAGCAGACCTAATTGACAAAGTCACTGGTCACCTAAAACTTTACTAGATAGAATTTTGTATCATGATTGTCTCACCACAAATGTTTGAAACTGTCAAATTCTAACAATAAAAGCTGAGTTTCTTCCCCCAATTTAAGTGTTCTTGAGGTGAAAATCTGTTGCCATGTTCTTCTGTCATGTACTTGGCACAGTTACACAGTTATCTTGGGCTAAAAAGAAAAAAAAAGTTGGTTAAATTGTCCTAGTGGTTTAAGTCCTGAAACAAAAAATACTTAAGAGAAACAGTTCACAACAAAATTGGATTACAAGGGGGGAAACAGCATTTCCTTTGCATGGTTAGGTCCCTCTGCATGTTAATAGCTCTTCTTCCCCAAGACTATGTTGCTGTCACCATTGGAGAGGATCAGGGGTTCAAAGGTAGTCCCATTGGATGCAGGTTCTTTCCTACCATAACTTTATGGATGACTGAGCACCTACTTTATTAATAGATGTATAGCCACCCACAAAAGGCTTTAGACTCTAACCTGCTAGATTTTTAAAATTTATGTCTCAAAGTTGAGGTTTAATAGCATTGATATAACCCACCTGTGCAGTTTCATGCTCATTTCTCAGACCCCCTGGCCAAAGGTTCTCAGCAGTGGTTCTACATCATCGCCTATAAAAACTGCTTCACTTCCCCCCTTTCCTAACAGTGAAAGCATTGAAACTGGTGAAGTGACTTGTATGGACCTTAAAGGTGGTAATGGGCACATGTAGGAATTTATGGTCACTGTGAAGTAAAAGTAGTATGAAGTAAAAGTAGTATGTCATCACATCTCATTGTTTATCCAGAACTGAAGGAATTAGGTAATTCAATTATTTATGGGCATCTTTATTTCCCTTTTGATCTTTATACAATTAACATGACATAATTCCAGTATTACTATACCAGCTTCCCAGCTCCCAAAACTACAGCTTCTACCCTTTTTGCAATGTATTCTTGCAAAAAGCCCTTTTTCTGAGAGCCTTTTAGGGGGATCCTGGCAGTATTTCTAAATTTAGTGTATCCCTAAGAATTATGATGCCAGGGAGAATTTTGATAACAGGCGCATGCTAAGTGGCTTCAACTCTCCATGTTAACTTCAACAATTAGCATTAATTAGCAGTTAACTTCAACATAAGCAGCATGATAGCACAACTAAGGTATAAGTTTAAAGGAGTTGGCAGGCAGCCTTAAAAGTTATAATATTTGGTCAGTTTTATACCACTTACACTGGCATATTATAGCACAGGAGAAATTGCAACTAAATGATGCCACAGTAGCAACTGTTTCTGAAGAGAATGTTTACACTACTAGATTCAAAAGTGATGCAACAAAGTGTAATTGAATTGAACTCAATCCTAGATGCATGGTTCTGGCTCAGGTAATTTCTGAGGCTTGCCTCAGACTGTTGGTTCTACGTTCAAAGAATTGCATTCCCCACAGAATGGCCTGCTGTGGCTGATTCAAGTAATTGTAATAAGTCATGGCGTATCTGTTAGGATGAATTGTATGCAAATTCTGGTGATACATTTTGTTCTCTAGTTTACCTGTACTTAGTGTTTATTTAATAGAATTCATAATCTTACAGGTTTCAAAGTATGGGCAGAGCCCATGGGTTCTCTAATACACTTTCAGGGGGTTAAAACTATTTTTATAATATTAACACATTATTTTCCTTTTACACCATGGGTAAAACTGCTGGCACCTTTCACAAATGAAGGCAGTGGCACCTACCTGTACAAGTAGTTTTCACTGCCCTCCCCACAATTAAAAAAAAAAATTCACCCTGGATGAAGCACTAACAATATTATTAAATTTGACCCTTAACTATTTATCTTAATATTCTGTGTAGCATTAAACACTTCTGGTGCACACTGAAATAGGACAAAAATACTTGTGAGGCTGAGTGGTGAGCTGAACTAGCTGCTTTTATCATGGAAAATTTTTACTGGCAAGAACCACCAACAAACTGGTTATCCAGATCTGAATGTTTGGTAGCAGTCTCCTCATAAATAACAATTGACAGGATGTAGGAAAACTTATATCTGCCTTTCATCCAAGCTTCCCCAAACTTAACACTTTCCTGGTAAGATCAGTGTTTCTCACAAATATATAATGTGTTAACATTTTGAAGAGCTATGTAATGTAGTAAATCTGTCTTCCACATAACCAATGCATGAGGGTACAAATCATGCATGGGTAAAAGATCCATTCAAAATAAAGATAGACCAATGGATTTTAATACAACAGTATGAAAAGTTCACTTTTATAATTTCAGATTCCACATTTCAACTAACCCCAAGTATCTAAAAAGGCTATTAAAATACTTTCCTAGTTACAAATCTGTGAAACCATACTTTCTTCATGTACTTCAACAAAAACATATAACAGATTGAATATAGAAGCATATGAGAATCCAGCAGTCTTCTGTTAAGACAAACTCTGAAGAAAGTTATTAAAAAATAGTACAATGCCAGCCACTCTTATCACTTGATCTTTGTTCTGGGACATACAGTTAATTTATAATTCTTTATGTTAACATGGAGTGAGTTTATTACTATTACATTTAAATGGATTTAATAATTTTTAAAATTTGTTTTAACTACTAATACAGTAAATATCAATAAATGCAACCCCATATAAACTAAAACTCTTTGGGACCTTCAATGATTTAAGAGTATAAAAGGATCCTAAAGAAAAAGTTTGAGAACCACTAGAGTGAGAATGTCTGTGTGACTAAATCAATTTACAGCAAAGTTAAGCGGCCCTACTCGGAGATCACCCGTTAGTCTTCTGCTGTTATACTGCCTATGTTGAAATAGTTGTCAACAAACATCACAGGTTTTGTACAAAGGCTGTATTTGGATATTAGGGAAGATCACTGAAAGCATGCTTACCTTCTGAGAAGTTTCCCAGTAATGTCTCCCCTTCCTCTATCCTGTTTCAGTTACATCGAAAGTGCTAAGGACTCTTAGTACCCTTGGTTAATTGTTTTTAATCCCTTCTCCAAGACCATCATCCAGAGTCATGTTAGGAAATCCTTTAAAATACAGTTTATTACCAATTCATTCTACTACTTATTGTACAACACTTACTATTGTCTAGTCTTGAGCTAGGCATTTTGTGATTTAAACACAGTCTTGCAAAGAATTCTGAAAATTACTCAGGGAACAAGCTCAGAAGTTCATCTTGTTCAGGATTTGAACCCAAGTCAAAGCAGTTCCTCTTTCTACTCTAGCCCATTATAGAAGGCTTAAGTGGCAACTCAGTATTACAGCACAAGATTTTTTTGTTGTTCTTAAAAAAAACGTCTTAAAGTATGCTGTAAGTAAACCTTAAGTATTTTAATTTGATTCTATTAGAGAAGGGAGGGAAGAGACTGAAGGTCTAGAACACATGTTGAGTCTGAAAAGAATAGGCTCACTAGGACCATTACTATTCTCCCTCTTAATTTTCATAATGATGAAAACAGGGAGCAGAGATCCAGCAGAAACAAAAGTGCAGCCAGATCCTGAATAGCAAGATGTCTTCACTAGGACAAACAAAAAAAGGGGTGATTTTCCAGCTAATACTGTAATTTCCTATAGGAAAATAGGGTGGAAATTAAAGATAGGGAACGAAAAGAGGTTCTACGTTAAAAAAAAAAAAAAAAAAAAAGACCCTTCTGTGGCAATACAAGGCTAAGTAGGGGGCTCTCTAACTCTACTGATAATTAATAGTGAAATGAACTTAAAGTAACATTCTTAACCATCAGCCAAGAGTTGGATTCAAACACTGGTTTAAAAAAAAATCACCTTAAACTACCCATAATTTGGGGACCCTTACAATTTCATGGTGAGGAATAGCATGAACTACATGTTTCTATATGTTTATATCAAGTTAATATAATTTCATATCATGACCTTGTTCATTGAAGTAAAATGCTTAGATAAAACTTAAAAGTGCTACTTGGTTAATATGATGGAGATAGCTGAAATGTAGCCCGCTATAGTGTGCCTTATGTTATAAATGTGATATGTGTTTTCACATGTCCCGATCCTCATTCCATTTCTGCTCTCATACCTCCCTACCCTTGGAATCCAATATGGAACTACCAAAACCATGGTTCCTTTGGTTTAAGTTTGAGAGGTATTTAATTAAAACTGCCATTCTACATGTTATTTCCACAGTCCAGTAATTTATTTTAAATTTGAGTATTTTCAAATTTCACAAACAAAACTGAAGAACAGCAATATTTTGTTTGAATTCTCTCTTCTGTACACTCAGTGATCTAAAACACCACAATATCCAACATACACAAACCTCAGGGAAGGGTTAGTAAATACACACAGATTGGAATCATGGTGCTCTTTGTTCTTGAATGGAATGGTCCCACAGAAAAAGCACAGGATACAGCACAACATAAGGGCACCTGTTACATATGGAGTGAGCAAAAACACACTAGCATTTTCTATATGCGTAATCAGGAAACCTGCATAGGTTAGAGGGCCTCTTATGCTCATTGAAAAGTCAGGCAAGTTGTCTGTAATGCATTTTCCCAATACTTTGGAGAGCACTGTAGTCCAGTGTAGGATGTGCTGATAATGATTAGTGTTGTCTTTGTTGCACTGACAGTCTTGCATGGTCACATACCAATATTTTTGCTTTAGCTTTTCTTTGAATAAAAGAGATTTAAATGCATTTAGACAATACATGTTGTAAGCTGTTTACATACACTAAATTTAAGAGCTTCAATATTAGAGTTTTTCTTAAACACTACAGAGTGCAAATCAGGTTCTTCACAACAGATTGAATATTAGGCAGTTCTTCAAAGAACAAAAGGGAAGAAAAAAAGCCCAGATGAATAAAACATTGAAACTATTCCCCTTTGAAAATAAATTCTAAAATGATGCGGAATGTGAAATAAGCTTTTACATAGGTGATCCAAGTTTATAGTTAGAAACAAAACGCAGTCCTTCATGAAATAAGGGTTACAAGAACATGTGCCTGTTTTCCTCTGTTATAAACTGAGAAGTGGGTAGAGACGATGTTTCAGTACGAAAATAGGCGACTACAGGATCAGCTTTCCGTTTCACATGCTGTACCCAAAGCCAGGCTGTGGCTGCCCAT